AGTGTTGGGAATTTAGTTCGAGGAGGAGATTTGGTCTTCTTGGTGTAAAATACTCTTACTTCTAAAAGAAAAAATAGGTTTAAACTTGTGGTTAAGTCACATTTTCTCGATTGTGTAGGGATGAGCATTACCTGTTCTAGAATTTAGAGTCAGTGTAGGTTTAAGTTGAGGTAACCATAGGTGAATGCTGGAAACCTTACGAGAAAGATTTCGATGTCTAAACTTCGAAGGTTGATGTCCAAGAGATAACCGTAGGTGATTCATGTGAATTTCTGTTTGTATCCAGTGATTCATTGGAATATCTCATTGTCTCCCGTTAAGTTTCTAACTGCTCTTTTAGATTTAGACATCTAGACATGAAAATGATGGAAATATCTACTGCTCTGCTCATCTGGTTAGAAACGAAAGGTTGCAATTGGGCTTTTTTCTGGTTTACTTTCCAGTTGATTGAGAGGAAAAATACAGGAGGCTGGATACTGTATTTGGTTGCTTTTCATGTGCCATGCATGACCAGCAAGTTTGTGTTGCATTTGAATCTTATTTGAAGGGGAACATCATGCATACGGCCTCAAGTCAGTCAGTTGCAGCTTTTTGCTCGTCTACATGGTTATTAATTCTACCAAAAGACATTGAGAGAATGTTAATGTTTTGCTTCATAAATAATCTCCAAACTTTTGCCAGATTGTAAGCTTCAATAGTTATCAATAGTCTGTTCTTTTTCATGATTGCTATAATAATGAGGATAAAAATTTAATGGAGCACTAAGAACCTTGCTGACATAGAGACAACATGTTATTAGGAATAAAATATCTCATCTAAAATGCCAGTTTAAATTTGTATTTTACAACTTTGTATCTTCTCCTAAATACAAATTAATTTTCGTCTTTTACTAGTTAACAATAACAATGTTACATTGGTTTAAAATGGAAGCATATTATTTTCTGAACTGTTGTTATATGGTTTTGTTTTGTCAGGTTCTGCATAGAAATTCCTGAAGGATACACAATATTTGTTTAAATTGTTGAAACCGAGGGATTTTCCAAAGCAAACAAGAATGGGAACTGGAGAAGAGAGTACCCCTCCTAAGCCTTCTAAACCAGCTTCTTCAACTCAGGTCTGCGTTGGTTCCTCGCCCTACTAGAATGATCCTTCCTGTATTTCTTGCTAAAGAATATATAGCTGATCCTTCTTATATTTGCAGGAAATCCCAACAACGCCACCTTATCCTGATTGGTCAAGTTCAATGCAGGTTTGTTCTGTGTACAAAAGTTTTCTCTGGTTTATTCAAAGGTCAAAAGCCTATATTAATACAAAACCTGATGATTATTCGTAAGAGCTCACGGCTCAGCTCCTTGTTTAGGCTTATTATGGTGCTGGAGCTACTCCACCTCCCTTTTTTGCCTCAACAGTTGCTTCTCCAGGTCCTCACCCTTATTTGTGGGGAAGCCAGGTAAAAACCCTGTTTTCCTTTTAAATCATACAGAAATAGGCACCTCTTGATTTTCCGAGACTTCTGATTTGGTTCTTTGGTTTTTCATTCCTTCAGCATCCTTTAATTCCACCATATGGGACCCCAGTCCCATATCCAGCTATATATTCTCCCGGGGGAGTTTATGCCCACCATAGCATGACCACGGTAATATTCGATATCTTAATCTTATGCTGAAATTTCTCCATCATTAATTGCCATCTCGATGCTAACAGATTGTTCTTCCTCTTTTCTATCAGACTCCAAGCTTAGCACCGACAAATATGGAGGTGGAAGGGAAAGGCCCCGATACTAAGGAACGAACTTCTGTTAAAAAATCCAAGGGGACTTCTGGTGGCAAGAGTGTAGAGGGGGGGAAAGCAGCTTCAGGTTCCGGGAATGATGGTGCCTCCCAAAGGTTCTTTTTTGACATGCCTTTATTTTTTAAGTAACTCCTGATTATTGATTTTAAATTTGAGCTTTAACTTTCGAAGGCTAATTGTTTGGGATCAGAAGGTCCTTGAGCCCTTGGCATTATAGTGAAATATTTTCACACTCCTGTAAAGCACTAACACGGGTTTGTAAAAAAAATTATCTGAACAGTGCTGAAAGTGGAAGTGAGGGTTCGTCAGATGGAACTGATGAGAATCCTAATCAACAGGTACTTTTGTGTTTATGTATCATAAATATTTCGAAGGAAAAGTGCAATTCATGGTAATTGAATGGTCTTTCCCCATCAAATGGCTTGGTCATCTTCATCTAAATCCTTCTGGATTTTCGCTAGGAATATGCTGGAAGTAAAAAAGGAAGCTTTGACCAGATGCTCGCGGATGGTATGTTTTAACCTTTTTCCCACCAACTGTTCCTGTCATTCTCCCCTCTTTGGTAAAAACTTATTATTGCATTGACTTTCTTGGCAGCTAATGCACAGAATAATACTGCTGGTGCAATCCAACCTTCAGTACCTGGGAAGCCTGTGGTCTCAATGCCTGCTACCAATCTGAATATCGGGATGGACTTGTGGAACGCATCCTCTGCTGCTTCTGGTGCTGCAAAAATGAGACCAAACCCATCTGGAGCCTCATCGGCAATTGCTGCACCAATGCCCGAGCAATGGATTCAAGTACGAACTCCCTTTGTTTGCATGATTTTTGGGTCTGCGAATCCCACCCGTATTTATCTTAGTTAATTTACTCTAGATTTACTTTTGTACTCTCTTCAATTTTTAATGATTTCATATATTGACCAATGTATATTTTTGTTTGACATGTTCATACAGTGAAGTTGGACTCATTGTTCATTTTATATCCTCAGATTTAATACTTTTGTGAATTCGAACAAGTGCTTTGTTCCTTTATGTCGTAGGTTTTGCCTCATGTATGATTTTGGTTTACTTCTCTGTAACAGATTTTGGGTTTACCAGATATGACTTCCTTGTTTCTTTTTAATATTTGCTGCTCATGCTTATTGTTATTAGGTATCTGTATTGTATGTGCATCTTTGGTTGACAATGGTTCTTCACAGGATGAGCGTGAACTGAAAAGACAGAAAAGAAAGCAATCTAACCGGGAGTCTGCTCGGCGGTCACGATTACGTAAGCAGGTCAGCAGACTTTTCTACTCTCAATCATTCTGATATATCGTGTTTTCTTTCATGATTTTTGTATGGGTCCATATACATGGAAAATCTTCCGATGCTAGGTTTCCTCTAACATTAAGACATGGATGATCATCCATGTTGAAAACTTTTATCTCCAATTTTACAACTATAATAATTTGTGTTAAATGCCTAATCATTGAACTGGTATTTTATTATTCATCATGCAACCAGGCGGAGTGTGAAGAGCTTCAGGCCAGAGTGGAAACCTTGACCAATGAAAATCACAATCTTCGGGACGAGCTTCAGAGGCTTTCAGAGGAGTGTGAGAAGCTAACCTCAGAAAATAATTCTATTAAGGTTTAAGTAATTCGTCCTCTTCCCCTCCAAAATCAGTTTTCCTGACTATTATTAGTTTACCTACTTTTCTCACTATTTTCACGCATGTAATCGAGAATCAAAATGAGAGAAAATGAAAATCTTTCCGGATTGAAATAGATACATTGTATTAAGAATGACCTTGCTGCTATTACAGGAGGAGTTGACGCGGGTATGTGGACCAGATGCAATAGCTAACCTTGAACAGACGGCAAAGGAGACAGTTGCCCATTCCCGGGGTGGTGAAGGAAACAGTTAAATAGTATGGTAGACACAGCTATGAGATAGAGCTTTTCGGCCAGAGCATAAAATTTCTTGGTCTACTCGAACTTTTACTACACTTTGGCTTTTTAATTGGGCACGAATACCTAGTTACTTTTCTTACTAATCTATACGGTTTTTAACCCTTTTTCCTCAGCAACTGTAATATTTATCTAGCAAAATTTTTAACAAGAATCAATATTGTTGTACTTGTATTATTATATGATTGGTTGAGAGCAAGAAATAATTGTTAGTCTAGTGAGGAACCCACTTATTGATTTCACTTGCAGTGATTTTTGTCTTACTTTTTCTTAAAAGTTATCTATCCTCTGTACATGTGTTTTGTAAGTAATTGATTGGTTTTCTTCCCAATAATTTCATCAAACTGATAACTGAACTGCTGCACGAATTTCGAGAGGAACTGAGATGTGGGTCAAAGTATTCATCCGCAATTACTCATAAAGCCAGTGTACTTTCTACACAATCACTAATGAGATCATTGTTTGTATATAAAATACTAGTTCCCTCAATTTGGTACCACTTCAATTTAAACTGATATTTTGAGTAATTGTTTAGTCCTTTTTTAATTTCTTTTTCATTTTAGATCAGAGTTCTTGTCGGGACTTCTTGTACAAACATAAGAAAATTCAAAAATAAGAAATCAATTTTTTCAAAAGAAAAATATTAAGATGATAAGAAAAAAACTAATATTTTTTAGAAAATGAGTGCTTATATAGCAATTTAAAATGAAAGAGCACTAACTGCAAGTAATGGGGAACTATAACTTCGTTCAAATTTATTTAAAGGGGAATAATGCCCCAATATCTAGATCCGAACGTAGGATGAAAAAGTATATACAAGTGGCTAATGAAGAAGCAAAACCCCTAAAAAAGATCCCAACAAAAAGGGTATGGGGGCGAGAACAAGGTACTCCGAGACAAAAATGATGGGTTTGTTGTCGACCTTCAGGAGATGAATGGAAAGGTCATTTTTAAAACCCAAGTATATGCGAAATTCTATTGCTACACAGAAGGAAAAAAAATTGCAAAACTGCAAAATACACAATCAGTCATCAAGGTCAGATTCAACATCCATGATTGTCCTTGTTTGCCCTTCATCAGAAGTACTGTGTGCTCGCAGTTGATCTGAATCACCAGTGCCTCTTAATATTTGATCCACTGCTCCAATCAAGTTTAAAAATAATAGCTTACTCCGATGTAAGAAAAAGTATACTATTAATATATGTTTGCACTTACAGAATAAATAAGTAATCAATAAGCAAGAGAACAGTATAGCTTCATTCACCTGACCCAGTAATCTTCACAATCAGGGTCCTAGCAAATTGGAATTCTGATTGGTGTGCGTCGATGAGTTTGACCTGTAAGGTTGAAGAATCCAGGGAATGTCTCTGATGTTTTGATGGGTAAGATGTGAAACAAATTCTAAAAATTCACACATTTTTGCACAAACTTGGTACTATCTCAAATTTGAACCAACCAAACAGCTCTATAGGATTCAATTTACCAGCAAAGTAAAAGAAAAAAGAAACAAGAAACTGTTCAAGAGTTTCGTGCCTTCCAATTTTTCTTTTTCTTTCTTGTCTGTGCTTTTATATTTTTCTGGCTCGTCAAATACAATTAACATTCAACAAAACCATTGTTAGTGTTCCACATATTAGACTTATCCAGAACATACCATTTCGCCATATGCAAGGCCCGTTAATAGATCGAGTCTAGCTTGATGCCTTGACAAGAATGGACGCAGATGGAGATCATACAAATGCTTTGCCCCCTGCCATAGCAATTTGATTCTATAAATTCTAATGAATTAAGTTTTCTTGTGCACAAATGTAAGTAAAGTGTGCTACATGAAAATTCAGAAACTACAAGCATATTATAGTCTCCCATGGAGACATACAAAAGGAAATTAGGTGAAAACCATCCATAGGTTCAGAGCTTTGACACTTCTATGGCATTGGAAACAATAGCTTCCCAATGCATGAAGAGCAAAAGAAATAAAAACAGCATGGATGAATAGATACCAGATAGAAACAGAACAGGAAAAACAGCTTAATCTGTCATAAAGCAAGTCTAATCACTAGTTTTAGACAAAACAGAACTAAAAGTTTTCAGCTTACATCAATTGTTGGGAGTTGAAGCCAAACAAGAAATGCAAACTTCAGGTGATAATACAGAGGAACCCTACAAAAGATAAATAAAGATCATGATACAAATCAAGCACATCTACATACATACATAATAACATAAAAGCATCAATTCTGCTTGCATGTATGCGCAACGCTTGGCTCGATATTGACTTAAAATTTACATCTCAACAGTATAGCGGTTTGCTGAAAGAAAAGTATCCAATTTCATCAATATTTGCAAATGTAATCCACAATATACCATTATATCATTATACTCTTACAAGTAAAATACAATGACTTACAGACTGTTTGACCAACCTAAGAAATAACAATTGTTTTAAATATTTTACTCAGTTGGAACAAAAGAAATATAAAGAGGAAGAAAACAAGATAAGGATGGAAATGGCCGAAAATTTTACAACTATGAAAGAGGTGGAAACCATGAGAGATTCTGGAAAATTATAATCGAAAAAGGCACGCTATCACCACTTTATTTTCAAAGTAAAAGCAGAAGGGTGCAAAAATGTACCAGTGAAGAAACTTGTCTGCAAACACTTCCACAAGGCTGAAAGATCCATAAGCTGCAAAGTCCATCATTTCCAAAATTTAGACGCTTATTTACACTAATGCCATGAGTTATTGAATGCAATATCATATTCTCTAAACAAACAAAGAAGATTACACACCATTGACCCATATTAACTATCAAGCATCTCTCCACCAAAAAAACAACTATCAAGCATCTAATGCATACAAATAACCAAAAGGACATTAAGTGCTTATTTGATTCATACCATTAAGGTGCTACCGGCATTTTTTGAGATATTTTTTTAAGATAAATTAAGGTGCTATCAACATGATGGCTGTGTTTGTCAAACTACTTACTTCAGAGAACCCGACAGAAAACAAGTTATCTAGACAGATGCCTACATATCTAGAAGAAATTTCCACACGAGCAAATCATAAACAATGACAACATGTAGAGGCAAAATAGAAAATGGAGATGGAAGGAATTCTTTAACGAGCCGTGCAACAATGATCAGGATCTAATTAAATTGTAAGTCCTACTTATATATATATATCCCCTGCCCTTGTTAAGTACGCAACCTAATTGACAACAGATCAAGGTCTTGATGATTTACAGTGATAGTTTACACTGTCGAGATACAGGAAACCTAGTTTGCTGCACACAGATGCAGTAGAAAGTATGTATTGTAGAAGGATAATGAACAACATATGCAAAATGCAACAATCAAATTTTTTTTCTAGAAAATAAAGACACTATGATATGGTAATTTGACGAAATGATTGGATAATGAAGAACACAAGCAAAATGCAAGGATCAAAATCTTCTCCTTGAAGGTAAAGATTCTATAACCCCAGATTGACTACTCCTGTTTCTACTATTTTACATAACAAAACTTCTCAAATAAGGAATTCATATCCCTGACTCCCCACATTGTTTTTTCCGTTATTCCTATACAACCTCTACATATTTCCAATGACAGAATGTATAGAACCAGAACCAACAAATTGATCAGTTCCGCTTTCTGGAAGAAAAGTACTAATTTAACTTAAAAGGAAAAAATCATCCTGAATATAAAAATATATGGGTGTCCATGTTCTCATAAATAATGTGGAGGCAGATCATCCAACCAGTGACAGTTTTCAACAAAAAGGGCACAAAATTTACATGATATTAATAACATCTTAGATGAAAGGTCAGCAGATATTTCAACCTGCCCAATATATTAGCCATTTCTGTTGCTCTTTTGGATCTTTCCTCTCAATTGCCTTGAATGTAGAGTATACAGGTAAACCAATGCCCACAGTACAGCTGCAGAAACAAAAGCATTCAGGTGAGCTTCATATTCATAAATTCCTTTACTAAGCTTGTGTTATGGGCCACATGGCTGCTGAAAGCAATAGACAAATGACTGTTAGAGTGGTGACACATGGCCACTACGTGAGTGGCATATGGCTGTTATGAGAAAAATGTTTTATTTAATGATATAACTAGTCGTTGGAATAAATGTGAAGATATTTTCAGGATATGGAGGTAGTTACTTCTTAGGAGAAGTTATGTTTCTTTTATAAAAATGTAATTGTAATCTAAATAACAAAAAATTTATTAAAAAGTTCTTTGAGTACTTGAAATTCTAGGAGATCATTGCATTCTCTCTTAAGGAGTGCAGACTATTAATCAAAATCTCATAACTAAATCATGAGTAAGGACTATAATAATTGGTATCGAGCCAGAAGTTATGGGTGATTTATGTTTGATGTTTGAATCTTTTTCTCAAAACTTCCTAAAAAGATCACGATCAATACAGTATTAAGCTTGATCTGTTGGCAAATTGTTTCCATGAAGTTTCTGTAGATCTTTCTCCCAGAAGAAGTGCACTACACAAAAAAGGACAAGGCTGTGTCCATCATGGTCAGCAAGTGCACCACAGTGGTGGTCTTGCCGCAAAATAAAGAAGCCTTTTCATTCCAAGGTACAGCAAGCTTGATTTCACCAGTAAGAAATATAATAGGCTGCTCGTGAGTCTCAACATTAGGAAATGACCAACCAGACAGATGCAGTTAGAGTGCTCTATTTGGAACCCAAAGTAAGAAACATGATCTAGGTGCAGTGTGAACCTGGTGCAGACTTCACCAGAAGTGTGCATTCTAGTAGGAGGAAACGAAGAAGAGAGAGAAAGAAAAAAAAAGAGAGGGAAATCTAAGGAGCAAAACAAGATAGAACTTAGATCTCTTGCCAGTGCTAAGTGTCTCTATGAGAGGAGGGAAAATCGGTGCTGGCAAGAGCTTTATGATTTGTGATAACATGGTAAATTTCAGTTCTTTTCAATCTAATAAGTCAAATCACATTTTTCATTTATGTTTGAGAAGCAGCTATCCTGGGCTGAAAAAGGAGAGCACAGAGTGAAGAATCAAATAGTGGTAAATCAACAAGGTTTGCTTCCAACATTTACTGGCAGCCAATTTTCTAGGATGATCCAACCGAGAAAATTGTAATCCAATAATATGTTTCTGTATTTCATTGAGTTTGTACGATATCCATGACTTCCTTATCTTGTCTTTTACATCTTCACATTGCTTATGCAGTCAATAGTAATTTGATTTTGCATTTTAAGGATCCAAAAATCAGACAAAAAGATAATTGATTAGAAGAAAGAGTTTTCTATGCTTAAAAAAAAAAAAAATTCTATTTTCACTTACTTGCCTCTCTATTAAATAGCATAACTCCCTACTGCCACTTTTTGGTTTCACATCTAGTTTCAGTGCTTGAGGAATATTGTTATGAGCCACATGACTACTGGAAATGGTTGACACATAGCTGCTAGAACAAAACTGTTTTTCTTCTATTTGGTTATCTAGTTTTATTTAATGATATAATTACCTATTGGGACAACTTTGAAGATAGTGTCTAGGATATGGGAGACAAGTGCTCAGGTAGTTTCTAGATGTGAGGGTAGTTCCTTAGGTAGTTTCTAGGATGTGGAAATAGTTACTTTTTAGGAGAAGTTATATTCTCTTGTATTAAAATATATTACTAGTCTAAACAAGATATGCAAAAAAATTGTCTAAAAATTTCTTGAGTACTTCAAACTAGAAAATTGTTGGGTTCGATAAGAACGAGCCTGTATTATTAATCAAATTCTCATAATTAGATCCTAATTAGTGACCATAACAACTTAGGAGAAATGGTTGGCCTCATCAATTTTAGGGGACCAAAAACAAATGCTAATCTAAGCCAGAAAGGAAATATATATTCGTATCTAATATGTTTAAAATATATCAATCAAAACTCACCATGCCGTACGAATTACAATGTTGGAACCAAGTGGGGAAAGAAGCAACCGCAATCCAACCTAAAATGTGATGGTTAAAAAAAAATTAATGAGCCTCTAAGACAGATGGTGAGTCTTAAAATGTGTAAGAGTAACACAAACTAAACAAAATTCTGCTAGCAATAAGGATTAAGTTCTTCTAAGTACATAACTCATTATGGAAAATTACATAAGAAACTTACTGCTCATGCAAAAAGAGAGGAAGAGACAGAAAGCAGAGTACTTGCATGATTATGAATTAACTGAACCGAGTCTCTAACAACACAATCGCACACTTCATGCAACAAAACATGAATCAAACAAGTTTACCACCTAAAACTACAGCCACTTTAGGACAAGCTCTATCAATTTTAGAAATAATACAAACCTAAACTCAGCTCCATAAATTTCCTCCTCTATCTAATACTAATCGATAATTTGTCAGTAGATTTTCAACCTTTTGGCTTAACTTGGGTTTGATCATACCAGAATTTCTGGAAATGAACTTGATGATTAGAGGAAAACGGAGAAATCGAAACAGGAAATCGAAAGGCAACAATCATTAATACAGACAAAAAACATCGAGGAGCCGACCAAAAGCAATGAAATCAATAGCACGTTCAAGATCCAAGCTGAGAGATGAAGGTCACAGAGAAGTTCCGTCCTCACCTCGTTGGTTACGCTGGATCCAAGAATAGACATGGGATGAATCTGTAGAGAAATACCGATCAATTAGTATTTACATTTTCTTCATCAGGGTTAATTGATACTTAAGGCATTTCTAATATTTGATCAACTATAAACATAGCTAAACTAAATTCGGCGTTCCGAAAAAAGAAACAAACGGAGACAAGTATGGGAGCGAAAACGATGTCGTAGGAGGAACTTCGGCTGGGAAGTAAAAAAGAAATTCAACCAAACGACGACGTCTGCAGAGGCCAGTCGAGTTTGGACCCAACATTCAAATCTCGGGCCTGAAGTCTATACGAACTTCAAAATGGTCCAATCCAAAGACTGACGAAGTAAATGGTCAACGATACAGTTGACCTTGACCCAGAAAATTGGCCTGTTTCACCTGTTTCAGGAGGAGAAGGTTTTGATTGGACAGCGACACATACAAGAGCCATAGCTATGGGAGATACGGTCGATTAACTTGCCGTTTTGATGAAAAACGTGGGCAACCATGTTAAACTTTCTCTTTTTATAAAGCTAATTTATTTTTTCACTTTTTGATACTAGGGGTACGAAAACCTTGGGGTGTCAGCTTTGAATTGTATAAATTTATGAAATTAAAGTCTAGATGATTGTGTTATCTATGTGGCTCAGTGCACCTTTGTATCCCCTTAGGTATAACAAAAAAGAAAATAAGATCAAGACTTAACCTAATAACAGTATAGGAATGAGATTTTTTCACTCCAACTTAGAGTTTTTTCAGATAATCATTGAGTTCAGGTTGGATCGAATTCGTATTAACGAAAAATTTATATCGATGGTTAAATGTATTTAAGTTTAATTTATTAAAACTCATTCAAATTCGATCCAATTATATATTTTTTTTGTTTAATATAACTATTGATACATTTATATTTATGTAAATATTTATCTTTTAGTAAAATATTTATGATATAATTTTTTATTGATATAAGCACATAAATATTTATATAAACATAAGTATATAAATAACCCGTTAATTCAATATCATATCTTGAAGAATGATATGAATCAAAACTTAATATTTATAAGCTAAATTATTATGATTATTGTAAAACTCTGATTAGAGTCTCACTTGAATGATTTTTATTAATTTTTTACTTTTAATAATAAGGAGCTCTTTTATTAGTTGTTGCAATTAAAAGCTTCCTTTTATCAGACGGAATTTTAGTTTTTTTTTTTTTCAATTATATTTCATAAAAATATTATAGAGATGTTGAATAAAGTATATACTTCTGTTTAACAAGAATAAAAATATATAATATAATTATACTGTAATTAAAATTTAGAAATATATTTACAGATTCCCCATTAAAAAAAGTAATAATTTAAAAGATTTTGTGAAATAAACCTATAATCATAAATCTTAAAAGAATTAAAAAATATATTAATGATAAACTTTTCTTCTACCAGAAAATCAGAAGGTGAATCTGTTTTTTTTTTTCTTTAAAAAAACAATTTATTGGAAAATTATTAAAATTATTTTCTTAATTCTGATTAAATTTATATATTAGGCATACATTCCCAATTATGTTTACACACTATTAATATTTTAAAACCACTGGGAGATATGATGAAGAAAATCAACAAATAAAATAATAAAATTTGTTTCATTATTGACTCATTTCTCCAATTAGTTTTTCAAACCTTATATAGGATAGAAATGAGAATACTCAACATATGGTATTTTTAAGAGATCTTTAATTACTAATACAAAATTAAAATAATAATAATAAAGAAATAAAAATAAACTACAAAAAAATTCACAAAGGAAAGGGATTTAAACGTATAATTACATCCCCATTAATTAATTAAGCACCCCCCCTAATTTAATTAATTAAAAGTTAAGACCTCATGTAATTACCTAATTCGATTTTGAAGTTTGAATTTGATTTCTAACACCTCCATGCTGATGTGGCAACGAGGGCCCTATCTTGCCAGCATAGAACCAACTCGGCTTGTCGTTTTGCCACGTGGAACCCCCTGACCTGCATCTTCCCTAACAAACACTCCGCCTGAAAGTCCGCGAACTGACTCAACGATACCGGCCTCATTCCCGCCCCGAAGAAAAGCTCCTTCCAGGAGGAGGACCCCACACGCGGCCCAGCTGCGCCTTCAACCGCCGCCAAGATCTTAGGGCGTACTAAGAACATCTCTATCCTCCTCACCCAATCACCCGCCGCAACGGCTGCCGTGTCTAGTGATTCCAACATCATCGAGTAGAACTCCAGACTGCTCACGAACTCTCGACGGAATGACGTCGCTCCGGAGCTCTCCGTCCATCCTTCACTGTCCACGAAAACGACGACGCTCGGAGACACTCGTCGCAGATCGGAGACGAACCCGGCGGCTCCGTTTTCAGAACTTAGACGGCGAAAGATTGCCGGAGATAGAAGAACGGCGGTTCTCTCTCCTTCCATGAATTTGATTGTTTTAAAAGACAACATCTCGAAACTCCGAGCAAGAACGAACTCGATCTGGAACCGGATTCTCAGCTCCTGAGCGAATTGAGTGAGATTGTCTTTGACCAGCCTGGTTTCTATGGCGTACTCTTCTGGTACAACAGCTGTAACTCGGACAAACGGAGGCCCCAGTCTAGAAGAATCGGTTCTTTCGGCCATTTCTCGCATAAGCGAAGCGTACTGGCCGCCGAAACCGATATCGAAGTCGACGATGTGAAGAAAAGGTGACGATGGCCAGTCGAGGGAGTCGAGGAGGGCTTGATTGACGGTGAATTGAGCGAACATAGGGATCGGAGAGAGTCCAGAGAAAGCCTTATAGCTCTGATGGTCTGTACGATCTCGTACCATGAAGACACGAGCGGCTCGGTTGGTCCCGGA